ATAATATATACTGTCTGTCGCTTCTTTCAATTTTCTCGGTATTCTGTCGGCTGCCTCTGCTGCCCTTGCGTGCATGCCTTCCTCGTATTGCTGCTGCTTGCATATGTGTTTGCTTCTGCTGCTTTTGTTTCCTGCGCGTTGCCTTCTTTTGTGTTTGCTCTCTCACATTCCGTTGCTGCTGCTGCTGCTGGTTGTGTGCAGGAGTGGCTGCTGCCTTAGAGGGGTGGCCTTTGAATCGCTCTGTAGTACAGCGGAGGGAGGCACTGTCGTACTGTCTAGCTGCAGCAGCGCAGCAACAGCAGCAGCAGCAGCAGACTGTTCTTGCGCTCCTTAGCACCATCAGACGTTGCTTGTTCCGGCTCTTTCTTCTCTGTGGTGCTCGTAGCAGCTGTACCAGCAGGTGCCGCAGCAGCAGCAGCAGCAGCGACAGCGGATCCAGCATCAGCGGTGGGGAGGGTAGGAGCAGCAGCAATAACAGCAGCTTAGGCACTCCGCTACGCATTGCTTTTAAGAAGAGCACAGGACAGCTGCGACTGCCTCTTCCGCTGCGCTCAGCAGAAGCAGCAGCAGCAGCAGCCCCGATGCCTCTGGCGCCGAAGGGCTGGCGACAGTTGCTGCAGATTGCAGCAGCAGCATTGTCTAACGAAGTTGTCTACTGCAGCAGGCCTACAGGGAGGTACGTGCGGTTGCTGCTGCTGCCATTTGCGGAAGAAGAGCTGCAGCAACAGCAGCAACAACCCTACATGCCCCCACGCACCGCAGCAGCTGCGGCAGCTGCGGCAGCTGCAGCGGTTGGAGCACTTTGGTCTTGCCTTTCACAGTTGCTTAACTCGGGCTCGGGTTGGCGGTGTGTGAGCCGTGCCGTCCCGAATGTTCCTGCTGCTGGAGCTGCTGGTGCGCACCCAGCAGCAGCAGGAACAGCAGCACATACTGCTGCTCCAAGTGCAGTAGGTGCCCCATCTTCGCTCAACCAGCAGCAGCTGAGCAGCTACACACCGGCGTTGCTTCCGGCTGCTGCTGCGAGGCTGCTGGCCCCCCAGCTGCAACCACAGCAGCAGCAACAACAGCAGCAGATGCTCTATTTGCAGCAACAGCAGCTCCTGATGCAGCTCTGCGGCGGCCGCGGGTTGCCCAACAGTCGGGAGGACACGCGCTTCTTACTTCAGCAGCAACAGCAGCAGCAACAGCAACAGCAGCAACAGCAACAGCAACAGCAGCAACAGCAGCAGCAGCAACAGCAACAGCAACAGCAGCAGCAACAACAACAGCAGCAGCAACAGCTAGGATACTTGACTGGCATGCAGCAGCAGCAGCAGCAGCAGCAGCAGCAGCAGCGTCTGCAGGAGGAGCAGCAGCAACAACACTCGTCTATGCAGGGGAAGCCGCCGCAACACCTGGGTCAGCAGCTGAGTCTGCCTATGCCGCTGCCCCCGCATCAGCACCAGAAGCAGCAGCAGCAGCAGCAGCAGCAGCAAGTTCGTGCTTCAGCCTATGCTTATTCGCGTCAAGCCAGTCCAGCTAGCCGTCGGTCTTGGTCGGCGAGTCTCTGGGCCAACACAAGTGCCCCTCTCAGCCGCCCAGAACACCCTCAACTCCCTGTAAGCGCCAGCTAGCCGACCAACTAGCTCTTAGTTCGCCAAACACACGCACTGTCAGCTAGCCGCAGTTAGCCAACAGGCCGCAGCTAGCCACAGGAGTCAGTCATTCAGGATCAGCTTTCTAGAATTCCCAGCAAGCTAGTCACAGCTAGTAGGTAGCAACACTTAGCTACCTACCTAGACGCTAGCTAGCGGGGAAGCTAGCTTGACAGATAGTCTGCCTAATAGGCGGCAGCTCTTCGGAATGTGCATGAGGGTGTGCGTCGTTACTGTACGTGGCGTTGGTGTGGAGAATATATGCAGCAATAGCACCAGCGGCAACAGCAGCAGCAGCTGAGTGGATTGTTTGTGTTCCTGCAGGCGTCTCAGTTTATGTTCCTGTTCGAGTCGGACGCCGCGGAAGGCGCTGCTGCTGCCGGCAGCAGCGAAGTTAAAGAAGAAGAACTCAGCGGCTTCTTAGATTTGTCCTTCTTAGCAGGCAGCACCCCTGTTGTCTGCAGCAGCAACTGCAGCTCACAGCAGCAGCAGCAGCAGCAGCAGCAGGGTGCGGCAGATATCCTTCCCCTCTCCCCGCATGAACTTCACCAGCAGCAGCAACAGCCGAGACTGTCCCCACCACGCAGACACACGCCACAGCAGCAACAGCAACAACAGCAGCAGCAGCAGCCGGTCTTGCGCATGTCAGACAGGGCAGCGGCAGTGGAAGCCCTGCGGCAGCAGCATGCGGCTGCTGCCGCAGCTGCTGCAGTGTTGAACAACCCTATCAGATTGCCTCCTTTGCGACAGCAGTCTGACGTTGATGATGAGTTGCAGCAGCAGCAACAACAACAGCAGCAGCACCAAGGAGCGTTAATAAATGGCAAATGGTGCGTTTGCATGGAAGTACCGCCTCCGCCTTCTGCCCCTCTTCCTTCTCCTCATTTGCTGCTGCTTCACCAGCGCCAAGCTGCTGCGCTTGCAGAGCAGCAACAGCAACAACAGCAGCAGCAGCAGCAACAGCAGCAGCAGCATGGGATGATGCCACCAGTAGGGGAGCCGCGCTACCGGGAAGAAGCTCTGCGACATATGGGAGGCGGACTCTCTCCTTTGCCTCTTGCTGGCGTCAGCTGCTTCGGCAATGAAGGACCGATGCTGCAATCTGCTGCTGGCAGCCCCGCTGCTGCCGCTGCCGGCGCTGCTGCGCAGGTGTACGCCTCCCTCAACAGGCAGCAACAGTTCCCAGCAGCAGCAATGCATGCAGACCAGGACATTCCCAAAGCCCCTGGCAGCAGCAGCAACAGGCTGACACATCTTTACCTCGAGCAGCATAAATCTGCAGCGGCCTCACGCGGGGTCGCAGCAGCAGATGCAGCCCTCAGCAGCAGCAACAGCAGTAGTAACAACAGGCCGCCGACCGATAGAATGCTCGTCGCGCCTGCAGCTGCAGCAGCAGCGGCAAGCTCCCTGAGCGACTCGAGAGCAGCAGAGCTGCAGCAGCACTCGGGTGCTGCAGCTGCCTGGGCAGACCCACGCACAGGCCAGCAGCAGCCTCCCTATGGTAGGCAGCAGTAGCTGCGGCAGCAAACGCTGAAGCCAGCGAAAACTGCAGCAGCAAACGAGCCCGACGCATGCACGATGTTGGACAAATTGGCCTGGTTATGGTTGTTTTCATTTTTGTTGTTTTCTTTCTGAGAGCCTTTGCGATTGCTGCTGGTGTTGCTTATACTATGTTCTGCTGCTGCTCTTGCCTCTGGGTGCGGCTGCTGTATCTTTTACTGCTGTTACTATCGGGAGGCATCTGCTGACGTGTTAGAGGATCACTAGCTGAGTTAGAAAACCACATTCGGGTGTATAGGCACCTCCTAGATCAGCAGGTAGCAGAAACCGGCAGCTGTAATCACTTGGGGTGTAACCACAGCGCATTTGTGGGAGACAGAATCCAAATTATGTCCAAAGAGAGTTCTTTCCAGCAGAAATGACAACTGGGAAAGGAACAAGAAGCTTTAGACGCTGCTGCAGCCTCACAGGCTGCGGTGTACGCACACCTCAGATGCGGCACCATGAGGCGACTTACGCAAGCAGCAGCGAGCTGTATGTACACTTCAAGAGCACGCATACAGATATTGCGAGGGCTGTATGCCTCTCATTCCGCTGCTCACAAACACCCACTCCAGCTGGAATACGTCGGCAAGAGCAGACGCAGGCGATTGGGCTGTACGTATACCTCAAACGCATGCAACATCCAGTGGGAAGGGGATAATAAAGAGACGAGCCCAACCCAGAAGTGGGAGGCAGCTCGCTAGCTGCCATGCAGTTGGTTGGCTGGCTGACATGTACCGAGCTAGCTTGTCACGGCTAGATGGCTAGCTGCTCCTGGCAGTCTAGCCAGGAGCCCGTCAACTGCTAGCTAGCTGACTAGCTAGCTGACTGGCTAGCTGGTTCTGGCTACTTGATAGCTGCAGCTGTTCAGCTAGCCAACTATCCAGGAGTAGCTCGGGACGACGCAACTCCAGGCGCTGTTCCACACAAAGGAGTCGCCCCTCCAACTCCCGAGCAGCCCAGCTCGTTAACCGGCTTCCTAGCTGGCTAGCTAGCTAACTAGATGGCCAGCTACTTCGTAGCTAGCTCCGTTGGGAGCAGCATTTCCTCTGGCTTGTAGCCGAGGCCCCGCGGCCAGTTCCACCGGTTAGCCGGCCGTTGTGGGGTTGAGAATATTAAAGCTATTGTACTTTGTTTTCTAATTTATTAACGGCAAGCGTAGGAGGAAGAGAAATCGGAGGAGCAGCACCAGGTGCAGCAGCTGCTGCTGCATCAGGAAGAAGAACTCACGAAGAAGCAATTTCCGCTGGGGGAGCGATTAAAGCGTTGCGAGTATCTTCTTTAAAGATATGCAGCAGCGCTGGAGGCAACTCAGCTGGGCTGAATAGACATTTGAAACCCTCTGGGCCTTCAATGCCAGCCAACTGAAAATGAGAGCCATCCTGCAGCAGCAGCGGTAGCAACGGACAGAAGTACACTTAGTTACACTACCGCAAAAGCTTGCCAAAAGCAGCAGCACTCACAGCAACAATAACAGCAAAACAAATCAGAAACAAACAACGGCAGCAACATGAGCAACAACACGAACAGCAGCGGCAGTGGCGACAGAGCAGGAAGCAACACATAATGCATGCGCTTGTATATATATGCATTTTCGTATGTAAATACTTGTACTATATTCCATGTAATATGTGCACATATACTTTATATATTGTATTGTCTGTAAGACTGACAACAAAATAGAGAAAAAGGTATTTATCTCTGGGCTTAAGATTACACCCGGTGGGGGAAACTGCGCCTGTGGCATCGTCGAATACTATAATCCCAACATTCAGCGCCTCCTCCAGAGCACAAATGTCAGCAGCTGCACACAACCACAAACACACGCATATATATATATATATATATATATATATA